CCGAGAGCTATGACTTTATTATGAATTTCAAGTCCACCCTGCGAATTTTAGTATGAAAACACGCCGTTCTCGCACCCCGAAGGAATGAATCTTGATATTTTCTGATGGGTTATAGAGACTCCCGAACAATTTTTTGTATTTTTTATTTTATTTAGAAAATACAACTCCCGCATTAGGAATAATATATCCTGTGTCGCGGGGGACTTTACAAACATATTTGAAACGGACAAAAAGAACACCCAGACTCAACAATTTGTGGATTGCACAAAAGTGTCGTCCCATGTTTGGATCGAACCCACAACACTCAGCGTAGTAGCGACCGCTTAAACCACTACGCCATCCGTGCAGTCGATCAGTATTAATAATTTTGTATGTATAAGAGTCATTTCACTTTAATGTATACTACCAATTCCTATAAATTTATTCTGCAGATAATTTATGGCTTCTGGAAACTTAACACTATTGTGATTTAACATTTCTAGTAAAGGAAATATCATTTATTTTATGTTATTTATTTTATTCTTTATTGTACATATTAATATTAAATAAGTGACAAGGAAATTACATGTATAAAGTAGAGGTTCACTCAAACCTCCGTTTCCTTTAAGCCAACCTTTAGAGCGAATAGAGTAGGTTAGTATAGTAGGCCAAAGCCTCCTTTGTAAGGAGAGGCCTATGCCCAGCAGTGGACTAGTAAAGGCTGTTGATGATGATGATAAGTTGGTTAGTAGAGAACGTCAAGACAAAGTCATGATGTCTACTTAGGAATAATTAGAAGAAAAAGTATACAATTCAAACAATAATAACATACATTTGTAAAGCAATATATATGTTATATATAATATAATAATATATCTTACACATCTCACACAAGCCGTCTGATCCCAAACTAGGCAGAGCCTGTGCTATGGTAACCAGACTGCTGATAAACATACTTATATATTTTTTAAATACATACATATTATAGATAAATTACACCCAGACACAGAACAAATGACCGTGCTCATCACACAATATTGGTCTCTTGCTAGATAATTTAGTTGATGCAACAATTTCTGAATAAATGTATTTTGATGACACTCGACCTTAGGAAAGCTTTCGGCTGTATCTCCGTATTATGAAATAAAATACAGCTATACAAATAAATAAAATTGGAGTGTCTGTTTGTAATATTAAAATAACCGCTTTTTACTAAATGCATATGTATGTTTACACGTTACATATGCCAAAATAACATTTTATTTTTATTTTTATCTGTCTGTCTGTTTGTTCCGGGTAATCTCTTGAACGGCTGGACCGATTTCGACGGGACTTTCACTGGCAGATAGCTGATGACATAAGGAGTAAATTAGGCTACATTTTTTAGTGGCTTCGCCCCGCGGCTTTGCCCGCGATTATAACAACAAACGCGGGTAACACCGCGGGTCTCAGCTAGAATTCTATAATAATTCGTTATTATTAGATAAGTCTGCATCTCTCTGTCTTTCTGTTTACTTGTCTGAATGTCACAAAATCCGTAAATACGAGTTTTCACTAACGTTTAGAATTGTTTATGAGAAAGATTGGGGTGTACAATGCGTAAAGGTTTGGTTTATGTATGACCAAATGTAATCACGATCGATGAAGACAAAAAAAAACATGCTAATGGGGTTCACGCTTCATGACCGAAGCTTTACTGACTTGCGACGCGTAAACTATGTATATGTACAACCACCACCACCACCACCAACCACCAACAGCCTATAATAGTCCACTGCTGGGCACAGGCCTCTCCTTAGAAAGGAGGTTTTGGCCTACTATACCACGCTGGCCAAACGGGTTGGTATAGGGTTTGTTTCAAGTTTTCTTTCTCTTAGCAGTGCTGTCGTCCTGCCTAGTTTGCTCCCTTTGTCGGCTCTTACGACACCCACGGGATGAATAGGGGTGGTGACATTCCGTAGTCTTAATCCGTCACCACACGGATATATACCAAAACTGTCTTATAATATCTCTCTTATAAAATTATTAAAGTAATGAGAAAACATTGCTAGCATAGGACGCAAGGTTAACATAACAAGGATTTGTTTTAGACTAGCGCAAAAACTATATTTACACAATAATTTCGAGAAAACTGTGTACTCAATGGTTCCTGCTCCTGCCTGCCTGCCTGCTGCTGCTTCCTTTTTATTTTTTGTTTTTTTTTTCATATTTCTTTAATTTTATAACAATAATGATGTTTGATTACCAATTACGGCATCAAGGTTGTAACAAATCTCCCACCATACCCCACCATCCTTGAGTATACAATACGCCCTCCGTGCTCACCGAAAGCCCGTGTAAGATTGTTGAGGCCATCTGCAATAGGTATACATTACACCAAAAAAAAGCGAATAATAAAAAACCCTCCATAACATTTCTGTAGCAAATAATCTCTTATATTTATTAAACAGATTCACAGAGGGTACTAAAAATTTGTCCCCAAATTGTTCCAGGATGTAAAGAATATAATTCTTAGGAATATAATTCTTCATCGTCTCGAGAAGTGAATTAGAGAAGCGACAATAAGCGTAGTTGTATCGTTCAGTTGAGCGTTCGTAAAGATTTTTCGATGGACCGGGTTGTACCGCACTGCGCCAGACTGAGCGAAGGCCTAGTGATTGAATCATTGTTATCGAAAATTCATTATAACTTTTATGAAGTTTTGCTGAATTGCGGCCAATTTCTTTTACGGGTTGCCAATTTGCTTTGAACATATGAATCACGTAGTTGAACACCTTGTCAACCTTGTGTCGAGTAGGTTTTGATTGCGGGGTCCTAACGTAATTCGTTTGGTTTTGACTGCTCATCATTTTGTATGTTTAATAAATTTCTAGAGTGAATATTATATATTAGTTTTGCATAACATGTTAAAAATTATTTGATAATTTATAATTTCTCTCTATTTTCTCATGCCTCTCTGTTTGGCAATGTTTATGACAAAAACTTGTTTCAAATTGAATGATGTGATGTTGTAAAAATAAGACTGCAACAAAGAAATTTCTATAAAACAGTCCAAAATAAACTTAAGTAATAAACATTTAAAATCAAGTTTTCTAAATGAAAGTTCAAAAATTCGGCACCTAGACATGTGTAAGATAATACTTATCGATATTTATATTCCTACTTCTTTGCTGTCCCATCTCTAAGGTGCTCATAGTTTGCGGCGCCCGGGACACTCATTCACAAAATGGAACGTTATTATATTAGGGAAGTTATTATGCAGACCTAAAATATTGTACTTTCACGGTTTACTAAATAAATTCTGGATTAAATACTGAAGCATTCCTTCCTCGTATGTGTGTGCGTGCGTGCGTGCATGTATGCATGCGTGCATGCCTGCTTGTGAATGTACCGTCTCACAGACATAAACTTTGTGACCTCCGTGAATTAGGTAATTTCAAATAGAAAATAAATTCGTAATATGCATCGTATTCCAGATATTACTATATATCCATTCTTTGTATAGTTTTATCAATTTATTTTATTTGTATAGTTATAAATATGCAATATATGTTAACGCAGTCAGTCAGACATTAAACATTTTTTAACGCGAAGTTTTGCTAGCTATGTTTAAGACTTTTAAATGTTCCACAGCATCCATCAAAATATGTCACGGCGTTCACGACCTTCCGCCTATGTTCTTTAGGCAGTAGGTTTCACTTTCAGCATTCTAATAACTCACACTAGATATCCAATTAGATGTAAAGCTCCATATTGCAGCCTTTCTTGGCTGTTCTCCTAATAGAATTTAGTAGTTTAAGTGAAATAGATCGCGCTATGAGGTTCTCGTGGGGGAAATGTGGTTGTACTGAGATAGTGAACCGCACATGTGCTTAATTGTGAATGTGACGTCACATTCAATTCATAAGAGAATTTGAATGTTAATTAGACGTATATGGAGTCTTAAGTGGAATTTAAATTTGATTTTCTATTTTTTTAACACACTCGACGTGATATTTTGTAAAATGCATTGTATTTGCGACAAAGATCTCTAAGCATTCTTTTCATGTATATATTTTAAGTTAGTGAAGTTTTCGAACTTCACAGATGGCCTAATATCCTATTTTACTTAAAGTAACTTTATTCTTACTGTTTAGCTAAACGCAGTGCTTGCTTGAAAGGCGAAACATTTCATCGTCAACAGCATTTAATAGTCCCCTGCTGGACATAGGCCTCTTCTTAGAAAGGAGGATTTGGCCTACTTTACCACTATGGCGCGCTTGGTACAGGGTTTGTGTCAAGTTTTCCTTCTCTTTCCAGTGTTGTTGTCCTGCATAGTTTACTCCCTTAGTCGGCGTTTACGACACCCACGGGATGAATAGGAGTGGAGACACTCCGTATTCTTAATCCGTCACCACACAGAAACATTTAGGTTTTAGGAAATATCAACTTATGTCGCCAGAAATACATTTACAGTAAGTACTGGTGACACATTTCTAGACCATAAAAAAATTGGTTGCCTGTAAAGTCGGTATACGGGCGAAAGTTTTACGTGACAACGACTTTGAGTGGTAAAATAATTTTAATGTGAATATTCATTCGTATAGTAGGAAGAAGGATGAAATAATAGTAACAATTTAAAACATTTATTTATACAAAGAATTATATTTAAAAAAGGGACGCGTGCCTTTCACTTTTTATGTCTGTCTCTCTCGCTCTTAGGCGGGCTAACCATGCCCGAGTGGAAGGGACGCGTGCCTCTCACTCGCTCTCATTGTGAGCGCATAACGTGAGCGGAGCGTAACGCAGTTTCTTGAAGTGTCACCCGGCAAACCAATTTATAAGACGTTGTCACGTCAATAAACAAGTACCTATAAAGTTTAACTATTGGCGTTTACGTCTCAATAATACTGTCGTAAAGACCATAGACTGCCGCGCCGTATCCATTCCATTCAGACACTACAAAACCGTTGAATCTCCCCGATCCCTCATTAATATACAATTCTTTTCTTTTCAGGCGGGAAAAATCTAATAAGAGGACAATGGCCGGCTCCCGCGAGAGATTGCTCTACGAAAGGAGGCCTGATTGTGAATATGATCATGAATTCCGACGACGATACGAGCAGTACGACAGCGAAACCAATCGATACAGACAAGAGAGACGTCAGGATCTGCACGATCGACCGAGACGCAAGAATGGATATGTCTATGAAGATATATACTCTGATTTTGATGAAGCACAAGGGAGGCTCTCGCTTTTCAGGCCCATTCGACCAGAATACTTAAATCTTCCAACCAATTACGATGTCAAATATAATTCTTTACCAAGGAACTATTACAACTATGACGAAAGAAATACTCGAAGGTATAAAAAGGATCATTACGACTTTCGAATTGATCACCAGAGGAGGACACAAGAAACGTACGATCATTATAGAAAGCACGTTAGTGCTAGACCAAGAGAAATTAATCCTGCAAAAAAATTATCAAATACTACAAAGGTTTCTTTAGATCCTACTCAAAATCCTATGAGCCTTACCAAAATTCATTTAAACCCTTCAAAAACCATAACTACTAACCCTTCAAAAAATTCTTTAAATTTACCTAAAAATTCTTTAAATTTACCAAAAAATTCATTAAATTTACCAAAAAATCCGAATGGAACGCCCAAAAATGTCGCTGTGTGTAAACCGCATCGAATATCTGACAGAAGCGCACGTTATTGGACATCTGATCCTCCTGAACGAAGCCGATCACGTCCGAAAAAAGCCGAAGAACCAAAAAAGAACGTAAAATTTTCTGAAGTGTCTGGATGTAACCGAAAAATGGTAGTTAACGATCCAATTTTTGGCAGAAAAATAGTTCCTGTTCGTGAATTAGAAGTTTCACTGGACCAAATGATTCAAAATGGTTATTTTGAGAGACACAATATTCCTATATCAAGGCCTATAGATGAAGTGGCTAAGGAAGAGATAAAAAGTGTGCAAACAGACAGTGCTGTGCCAAACGGGAAATGCTTATCGGGAAACGGGAAGGAAAACCAACCTCAAAGACAAACAAGACATCTACCTCAGGTGAGTTAGTTATTGTTTCTGTAGAAAAAAATTCTACGCTATCGTTTTGTTCGTTCGTTTTTGTTGAAAAACTAGTTTTTGTATAAACGAATATTATAATGTTGAGTATTAAAAGCTGATCTGAGTTACTAAAAAAGGTTTCTTTGTTACACTGTTGCTGCTTATTAGTGAGGATTTAAGTTATTTAGACTTCAGGGTTGGAGATAGATGCTTTAGAGAGTTTGGTACTTTAGAATTAAATGTCAAAATATAGTATTGTGATCAAAACAACATACAAATACAAAAGGACTTCCCGAGTGTCATTACTAGGTGTGTTTGTGGGTCACTGCCGTATTTTGGGGTACAAGAGTTACAGTACAGGGCGTGTTGGATAGAACAGATAAAAAAATACACATCTAAAAAGTTTAAACAGTTTAGAAGTAGGTTATAAGTGACTTCAAAGAGTTATGAATATAGGTACTTATTTAGTTATAAGTAAATACATAATAATATTCTGCACACAATACACAACGCCATCTAGTCCCAAACTAAGTAGAGCTTGGACTATGGGTACTAGACAACTGATATAAATACAGATATTTTTTTTGTAAGTACATCATACTCGTATTACGTACATAGAAAAACCCAGACCAAATCAAACAATAAAATGCTCAAGCCCACAAATGTTTGACTTGAGCGGGAATCGAACACTACGCCATTTGGTCGTCAATAAAAGCATATTTTAATGTAATATTACATTTAAATGAATACTGCTATGCTTATGCATTACGTTGATGGTGCTTAAGTTTTATCTTTTTATGTGTTTATTGAATTTACAAAAGCAATTCGCCCAGGATTGCTTTCAAAATTTAAAAAAATTATAGAATTGGATCAAATCAAATGGATGAGATAACTGGGAGATATAAAGTGGAAAATATAGTTTTTTTTACAATACTGAGATAACACGAACCAACTGGAACTACGGTTCGATTCCTGGGTCGGACCAAATGTTTGTATGATCAACAAATATTTGTTTCGGAATTTGGGTGTTTTCTATGCATTTACAAAATCAGTATAAAGGTATCTATCACTCAATCTAACTTTCATAGTACAAGCTCTGCTTAGTTTGAAACTAGATGGCGTTGTGTTAGATGTCCAAAGTATTTATTTTATTATTATTTATAATATCAGGGAGCAAACGAGCAGACGGGTCACCTGATTGCAACTCAAAGGTCACAAGTTCTTTGCCGCCCTTCGAGTCCTCCCTACCATAAGTAGGGGGGGGGAGGAGTTCATTAGGCTCCGGTAACCTCACACACGTAACAAAACAAAATTACTTAATACCGGTTTTCTGTGTGAAGCCGTGGTATTACTCCGGCTTAGTCGGCCAACTTGTCCCGAAGCATGGCTCTCTCACTCCCCATAGACTACGAACGCTTGATAAATAGTTAAGGTGACATTGTCTATGGTCTGTCATCAGACGTGGCGTGTCGACACAACAATGAGCCACGGCAAAAAAAAACAAGTAAAATTTATGGGCTATTATCTAAAATATATTGACGAGGGTACCTTGTACCATTTATCCTATAAATAAGTGGGCACTCAGCATTTACTGCGATGGACATAGCCCACCCTAGTACGGATTTATATAACGTGTTGATAATATACATAAGTATACACGGTGTAAGGGACATCGTAACGAATACTGAACTAGTGTATTCAGACCATCATTCTGAGTCTAAAGTCATTGGAATTTTCATGCAATCAGCTGTCAAAGGTAAAAGTCATTCCCCGTGGGTATCGCACAAAAGTAATAACTATATGTGTATTCCGTACAATCAGTCTACGCACACTAACACAAGTTGGCGGCCGGAGGCAGGCCCCGTGCGCTCCAGCTGTTTGATTAATTACTTTGATTAGTAGTTTTTGACCGTATGCGGTACTTATTAATTTGTTCTCGGTGAAATGTTCTGTTTACTCATTGTGATATCATTTTAAACAAATTGAAAATTATTTAAAAAAAAATGAATTTTGATGATTTTCGACTCAGAATCATGGTCTGAATGTAGTAATTCAGTATTCGTTACGATGTCCCTTACACCCTGTTTAGGTAATGTTATACAATGACATAGTTTTTTACTACAGGATTTTATTGACATACAAACAAAACGTGTATCCAAAATTTGAACATAATCAGTTGATTTTAAAACGCAGTTACAAGATTTGTCTCGAAGAAACATACACACAAACAATGCGAGTTATTTAAAATCTTGCTATATGTATCTTAATATATGTAATTCTTCTGTACGTGTGTTTGTAATCTAACTCCTCCTAAACGGCTTTACTGATTAGGATAAAAATTTTGTGTGTAAATTTCAATGGGTTCCTGGATGGTTTGAGAACACATTGGCCTGGTAGGTGGCGATGTGGTCGACATGTTACCAAATTTGTTACCCAATTTATTAATTCTAAGGTACGAAGTTCGCCAGTTCAGTTATAACTTTACATAACAGAAACTCCCTGCTATGGGAAAGCCATGTATTTGCAGGTTCACCAGAGCGATATTACAGCCTCACAGAAGATTGGGGCTAAGCAGTTCCCTTGTTGCTTTTCACCGAATGAGTATTTATGATTTTCAATCTTCTTCTGTAAGTAGTCTGCATCGTCTTTCTTCCAAAACAACTTCTCTTCAACAATTCCATTTTTCTAACGTTCCTCAATTGTGATTCTTCAATAATCTTCTAGTCTTCTAAACAACTGTACGCCTTCTTTTTCATAATGTTAAAATTTCAATACAAATTTCGCCATGAGACGTAGGTAAATTATAGACAACTGTTCGATTCCATAACCGGTTTAGTAATGGTATAAATAAATATGTGCAGTTACATACAAATTAAGGCGAACCACACACTACAGAGGTTGCGGGAAACCAACCCTCCCCCCTTTGCGTCTCCTGGGTAGCAGTGTTCATGCGTGACGTTAGTCACTTATCAAGTGACTCGTCTTCGGACAGCCTTTTATAGTCCACTGGTGGACGGACACAGGCCTCTCCTTAGAAAGAAAGTTTTGGCCTACTATACCACGCTGACCAGACGGGTTGGTATAAGGTTTCTTTCAAGTTTTCCTTGTCTTTGTAGTGCTGTTGTCCGTAAGAGACGACTAAGGGAGCAAACTACGCATAGTTTGCTCCCTTACTTACGATACCTACGGATGAATAGGGGTGGTGACACTCCGTATTCTGAATCCGTCATCACACGGGTGGATTACCTCCTATGCAATAAAAAAAGAAACTTATAAAAATCTAATCTGACTCTAGGTCTATACATCTGAACAAATATTTGCCATATATATGTACATTACACAATATTTCACTATAAAGATCTCCTGATCCAAGAACACTCCATCTAACCTAAATTTTAATTTCTTAAAGAGAGGGCCTTTGATCTAATTTCTTAAAACACTACAAAAACTAGATCAAATGCACTCAATAGGTCAAGTAAATAGGCGTAGAATGCACTGCGGTCTGTATAGACTGCAGTGTGAAGACCTAGAGACCTAGAAAGTAACCGATTAAGCTTATATTTACGATGAAAAATCTGATCAGAAGCCCAAGTGCGAGTTTATTTCATATCAGCTCGCTCTTGACGTCGAGCGCGTTTTGCGTTGTGATTGGTGAAGATTTCAGTGCGGGCCAATCACAGCGCCGAACGCAGTCACCGTGATGATCGAGTAAATGTGCAATAACTCACACTTGGGCTTCTGAACGTTGTTTCTCGTAATAAACATTCATTAAAAATTCAGTCGTAAGAGCCAACTAAGGGCGCAAAACAACGCAGGACACCAGCACTGCAAAAAGAAGGAAAACTTGACACAAACCCTATACCAACCCGCCTGGCCAGCGTGGTATAGTAGGCCAAAACCTTCTTTCTAAGGAGTGGCCTATGTCCAGCAGTGGACTATTAAAGGCTGTTGATGTGATGATGATGAAAAATTCAGTTCTGATCTACTCACGATTTCACAAATGTCATAAAAAGGTATTCTCTTAGTTAAGTATTACTAAGACTAAAAGAATACTGATTCAACTTCAAGTTACAATACGATATGTATTGTAATTACATTACAGTCAACGTTAGATGTTCAATACTTTACCACGAGAATCAAGAGTTGATCGAAACTGTATTTTAAACGTATTTTATTACGAGAGTGGAATTTCTGAGTAAACCCGTAGTTACCAAATACGTTAATTTTTTTTTTTTTGTTTTTTTTCAAAAAGACAACTCCCGCATTAGGAATATATATCCTGTGTCGCGGGGGACTTTACAAACATACATGAAACGGACACAAAGAACACCCAGACTCAGAACAACAATTTGTGGATCACACAAAGTGTAGTAGGAGGAAGCGGCGTGGCGACCGCTTAAACCACTCCGCCATCCGTGCAGTCAAAGTCAAAGTCAAATTGATTGTCGTTGTCAGCACTCATTTTGAATAAAAGACTTCAAACAATACTAACAAATACTAAAAAGTAACTACAAATCTAATTAACAAGCCAAAATTAGTGCGACCATCTAAGGATAAACAACAGTGACCCAGATAAACACCAACCGCGACTTTTGTAAGTCCCAGGGAGTGTTAACCTATATTGGAAGCTACGAATCTAGACTTTAAAGCATCACTTTTAACTGCAGCAGAACAATCAGGTGAATTAGGTCAAAAAATTTGTTATGTCAAAATAATAGGTTTTTTTCATGCTCACACGGTTATTTGAACGATACCTATGCCTAAAATCCAGCTTTTATATTTTTGGCTGTCTGTCTGTCTGTTTGTCTGTTTGTTCCGGGTAATTTTCTTAACGGCTGGACCGATTTTGATAATATTATACTACCAGGCTGTCTACGTAAGGAATAACTTGGCCATTTTTCCTCTCAGAAAAAGCCTTTAAAATTTTGCCCGGTTCGGAATCGAACCCACCACTAAGGCTTTTCAAACTCCACGCGAACGAAGTCGCTGGCACCAGCTAGCCATAACCA